TTTTTTTTTTTTTTTTTTTTTTTTTTTTTTTTTTTGCTTGCGCTGCGTTGAACCCGACCTGTGGATTGTGCCCGGCTGGGCACCCGGGCATGGATCTGGGCACAGCCACTTTAGAGAGTGGGACAAACACAAACAGGTAGAACACCAGGGACTGGTCTGCATTGCTGCGTACATCTAGGACTTTTCAGTCATAGCTATTCCTGGGAATGGTATAGGTCATGGGCGAAAGGCGGCAAGGTGAAAAAAAGAAGAGGTCGCTTTTGCAATAACTCGTCTTGAAGCATGCACTAGTCGTGAGCCATAGGTCGTCACTTCGGTCGAAGGTGTGAATCAGGGGCCAAAGGCCACACCCGAGCCATGGAAAATTGCCTGAACCAAGGCCTGCTGCTGTGGGTACCCGAAGCATGGCCTAAAACTGGGCTTCAGAGGCCCTCCGTGCAACAGTTGACCATGGAAAGTCAAAGGTCAACAGCAGCCCGGAAATTCAGGCTCACGAGTCAAAGTCAACATGGACCCAGCCCAGGCCACCGATCAGACACCACACACTTGGCTGTTTGCAGGTATCTGTCGAGAATCCAGTCCAAGTGGGAATCTGCAACTGTATAAGATCCAGGCCATTGACTGCAGGTCAATCTGGGCCATCGTAGCCGAGGGACCAGAGGCTGGTCAACGGGAGTCGACACTATGTTGACCCAGCCCCTGCTGACCGGCATTCAGTCTTGCACTTGCTGCTTGACGCTGGCTTGATGCTGGCTTGACGCTGACTGGACGCTGGCTCGATATTGGACGACGACGCGAGACTGCTATTGCTAAGCGCTGGCGCCATTCTCTGTCTTTGGCGCCAGCTCTCTTCTTGATTATGCTGAGGTGTTCTCGCCAAACTGTCTACGACATTGATGGGATATTGGCGAGGAGGAGGAGGATCAGGGCTGTGAGATTGGTCGAGTGAAGAAAGGAGACAGTACCTGTTCACGATCGTGTTGACATTGCGCTCTGCTGTTGTCTTCAGAAGGAGTCTGCATCATGTTCGCCATGTTGAGATCTGTTCGATGTCAGTGTGTGTCAGACGAAACTGTCTGGTGACGTGGCGAGAAGGAAATGCCCGAAGGAGGAGTGGGCCAAGAGGGAGATCTATCTGCTGAAGCTGATGGTTACTCTCTTCCACCTTCTCAGTCTAATCTCGCTCTCATCACTCTCTTCTCTGGTTACTTGACATTGGGCTCTTGATTACTTGTACAATTGGAGACATTGAAACTGCACTGAGACAGTCTGTACTTCGACATTGTTGAGATTTCCTCCTGACTGGGTTCATTGCACTTTTTCTTTGATGACATTTAAACCACCAGTTCACAAAGTGGTCTTCCAAGGCTCGCGAGTTTGTCACTGCGACTTTCCATATGGTCTGCCGCTTTCGCTCCGGCCCAGGCACGAAGCCAAGTGCTCTTACCGCGTATACCGGTAAGAGCACTGTGATGGTTCTTGTGAACTGGTGGTTTAAGGACGAAGGATTGTTGACTCAGAGGGAACTGAGTGAAGTTTTTCAGACTTTTTCTCTATGTTAGAAAATATTTCATCTGTACCACCTCCTGCCTGATGTATTGACTTTGAGATTGAACAACAGAGCACACTATGCCCAGGTTCATTATATTGGAAATTACATCTTGTTAGGTGCGGATTAACCTGTTCACCTACCTATGTGTTTGAAGGCCTCTGCGGTCTAATCACAGCGACATAGTGGTTAGGGGCAAGCTCTACCAGCTGACCTAGTAGTAGCCCATATTTGGAGATTAGGCTCCTCACCTTATTTGTTCGGAATTACAATCTTGAAAAATTAGGACTTCGATTCCTCCTGAGTTTCAGTATGGTATAATGGCCCCCCAAAGAGGTAAATCAGTTTTATATGATCTAGTAAAAACTGCCAATCTGTAGCATGGAGGTGATCCAGCCGCACCTTCCTCTGCAGATATGTTGTTTTGATGTCAGTCGGGTCATTAGCCCTGCCTTTGGCATTCTCCTCAATTGATTAGTTGAAGGTCAGGATAACAACTGCGGCCATGGTCAGCTCCCAAAGTGTGCCGGGTGGTGAGTACAATGGCCAAGAACAGATTCTGTGGTTGCAATTCAGGCTTCATGGGTCTGGCTATCTTCTTTGTCTCTTGATCTTCCTACCATCGGCTTGGCCTGACTGGTGAAATTCGTGGGCCTAAAACTCTGTATGGGGTCAGGACACGAAGTGGGCGCTCGAACTCCGAAACTGCTTGCTGGAGGCAGCACCCATGTTCGTTAGTTTGTGCTAGCGATATCCCCTCACTTGTCCTTCACCAGCATGCTCTTACCCTGTCTCACAAATTCACAGTGAGCCGAATGTCCAGAGTGATGTTGTCGAGTACTCGTTTTTTACGTTATGAAAAGTACTCTCTGCTGGTAAGTTGATGGAATTTCGATCAGCAGCCACATGATTGCTGATGTGCTGTTCTTGCGCTGGAATTGGAACCTTGTGGGTGGGTGTCATTTGCTGGGCAATGAGACAGGGTCCTTCTTTGGATCTCAGCATGGAGATGTACACTGGGCTTGGTTGTAAAACAACTTTCACAGAAGTGCCATCCGTGCGATTAGGAAGCCGCTGGCCTGGATTTCTTGGAGCGAAGTACTTGAAGCTGACTGTGGCCTCACATGTCAATGACAGCGTATCAATGAGCCATGAGCTGCTGTCCACGCTGGGGGAGACTCCTAGATATGGTGAGATGAAAACTTATGAATGACTTCAGAAGTTGAGAATGGATGATTTTAACTACAGCTGTTCATTGGCAGCTATATCTTCTACCCTATAGCATTCAAGCACTTGTTTCTGTTCTATGTAGTCATGCAAGGTTGGGAAGGGCTTGCAGCTTGGTGCTCTTAAGCCACCAGTACATGGGCACCTGGGCCGCGGGTCTGACACCTAAAATTCTGGAGTCGCGAAACGAAAACGGGGCCGCCGATTGAATTTATCAACGACGGACCCAGTGTTTGACGTTTCGGCCTTTTTTCTTGTGGCGGTAAGTTTCGGACTGCAAGGTTGGGGCCGTGCTCTTGTGGTTTAACCCTTACCCTGTGGCATTCGAGCACTGGTTTCTGTTCAAGGGACTCTTTGCGAGGTCGAGAAGGGTCAGTGTGTGCAGCCAACACAGTTATTCTATAGTTCCACAGTGTGTCCTGCCTGTCATTACCAGCCCTGTCTTTGTTGTTATGTATGGTGTGCGTTGACTGAAATAGAATAGGAATGGCGGTGGGCGAGGTGGCGATCCACAGTTTAAGTAATCAGGCCTCTGGAGGACCACAGCAATAGATTGATCAGATGCTTCATGCCTGCTCGCTCCGGCCAGACCTTTCTGCTCTTCATGCATAATTTGTTTCCAAAGCGTACGAAAGCGGTAGATGTCGATGCAGCCAATGACTGCTTAGATGTACTCTCGGTGAGGCGGAGTAGGGCCAGTGTGTGCAGCCAATAGAGTAATTTAAGAGTTCCACAATGTGTCCTGCCTTTCATTACCGGCCCTGTTGTTATTTATCTTTGGCGGGCGACATGCATCCTAAACCTCCCAATGCCGTAGTCATAACTGTGGAGGGCGTCAAGTGAGGTATTCTGTGCCAGGTTTTTAGGTTGGCAGACAGGCTATGTATGTGACATTGTGTCTGCTGGACTGGGTAAGTGTGATGAAATAACATCCTTCAGCAAGTTCACTTAATTGAAGTGCACGAAGCAGTTGTGGTTCTTGCATTCGGAACTGCTGTCACATTTCCTCCCCTGATTAGGTGTTGTATGACACAGTGCATTGTAGTCCAAGCTCTGCATGTCTGAATGCAGATGTAGGATTGGTGAAAAGTCTGGTCAAAACGGTTTGCCGTATGATGTTGTGCACATTAGCTTCAAATGCACTCACTGTCTACCGACAGAGAACCAGATAGGCCCTTTAGGAAAAAAAGAGAGAGGCAAAGATTAGACACAATTTTCAGTCTTTCAGACTCTTTTGCCAAAAGACACAAGGCTGCATGGAAAAAAAAAGACCATGGCGAAGATGCCACACTGTTGGGATGTGTGATGGACTAAAAACCTCGTGTTTTGCAGATTGGATGACGTGGTGGACTTACTGGAGAATCTGTGGAGATTGAGGGGGAGGGTCCCAAATAAAGTCGCCCTAGCCTGCAAGGGCTGGAAGATTAGCACTTTTGTTCATTGGTCGTCCTTGTGGAAACATTTGGTTATTTGATTTTGCTGCTTGCTAACTTTATCCGCTTGTCGTCCACTGGCTATGATTGTCCACTGTAGCACAGAACCGACTATGTCTGTCTGCCCTCTAAAGGATAAGACCAAAGCCTGATAAGTGACCCATAACTCTTTTCCTTGCTAATGTCTTATATTAGATGCACCACAGAGTTACAACCCTAAAAAATTGGACAAAGGCGGATGAGTAACTACTAACTACTTTCCTTGCTAATGTCTTGTATCAGATGCATTGATTTACAATGACACACAGCTGCAGAAATACAACCTTTCAGCGATTCTTGACTTCGATATCGACCGATATGGACCGTTTCTGAACCAGCTTCTCCACGTGGACGCTTTTACCAAAGATAAGAGTAAAATGCAACACAAAGTGCGTCGTGATCGCAAGAGCGTGACAGGGAAGAACGGATATGGGATGGTGGTCCCCCTGACCATCATGCACAACACATCGAGCGATCATGCTTTACCAGCGATGCTGACTGAGTTGGCACAAGCACAAATACGTGGTAAGTAGATTCAGTGGATGTGTGACTGGGGTTCTCTTCTCTCTTTCGCAAATTTCTGCCTGTCATCGTCAGCAACGATATGTGTAACTCGTGCATATCTGTTTTCCTCCCCTTCTTGGGGCTCCTGAAGTAATACGCCTTTCCCTTGCCCTGTAGTGTTCACTTGCAACGGACCTTGCTGCTGTTGAGACAACCAGCTGTATACCATGCACTACTGTCTTCACCCAAAAATAACGCCCTGGTGTCAAATTTAACTTACCGTACAAAAGTCAGATTCTTTTTTTAATTCATCTTTCATTTTTTAATATACCCCCGCTTAGAATATAACATTCAGCCATTGTATTCGAATAGAACGCCGGGGTGTTGTATTCAAATTTGGTGTTGGTAGAATGGGGGAAGCGGGCTGTACATGAGGTTTAAAGGGGGTCTAAAGGGGTGCACATGAGGTTTAAAGGGGTGTGCTTTGGTTTGGTTTTTCTATTTTGTTGTTTCTATTTCAACCCTTGAATTAATAAGGGATTCTGGAGTGACCCTTAGCCAAAAGTTGTTTGCATTGCAATTCTACACAACACCCCTGCGTTGTCTTTGGGTGATAGGATGTGTAGATTGTGTAGTCATGCAGCTTCTTTATTGTGCAAATAAACGGAGGTATGGAAAGTAGCATATGTGCAACGAATCCTTGCTTCATTTTCCAAAGGGGGAGTTCCATTCAGAGTCTTTCAGACCCTTCAGGAAAGTTGCTGAAGGCCATGATTGCAATTGTCTCAGGACTTCTGGGATGGCAAGAACACCTTTTGCGGTTTTCCATAAACAGTGGCCAACTTTACCGGTTGTCCCTTTGGTACACACGGTCTAAATAAAACTTGGCACCAACTGCACGATCAGTAATTTGAAGGACTCCAGGGTTGCATCCCTGCCGACCCCGACCGCCGACCCCGACCGCGGACTCCGACCGCCGACCCCGACCGCCGACAGTATTGCAGCCGGCCAGTAGGGCCGGCCGGTCGGCGGTCTGCCGACCAGTCAGAAAACAACCATCCACTGATTTTTTTTCAAATCTGAGTTGGGGGCTGTACAGCGCTTGCTGAGTACAGCCCAAATCCGCTGAGAAACTTTTGGGGATCGGGGGGGGTATGAGGGGGTTGGGGTTGGAGTAAAGGAGGGGTATTGTGGGATATAGAGGTGATATAAGGGGTATTGGGGGTGGTAATGAGGGTGTTTTGCGCTTTGGGGGTGTTGGAGGGGTGTTTGGGTGTATTGGGGGCCACTATGGGGGTGGTGGTGGTGTTATTAGGGGTTGTGGACCCCGCAAAAAAAATATATATATATATTTTTTTTTTTTTTGCGGGGTGCCAACGACCCCCGACTGGTAGGTGCAGACCAGCCTATCGGTCGGCGGGTCGGCAGCCGACCAGTCAAGGGCCGCCGACCGTGGGGGTGCAACCTTGAAGGACTCTGTAAATCTTTTCAAATAATGTTGGACTTTCAAGTGTCTCAGTGTGTCTGTGAAGGTGCTTAAAGGGGTGTGCGCAAGGAGCCATCCAACGAGAACACACAATTTTAATATGCAAAAGCTGATAGAAGACCGAGCATGAGTGAGCGGAGTTGAGGGCAGAATTACAAAAGCTGAGAGTACGCCAATTAAGAACACACTGAACACAGAAGCCTTTTGAAAAAAGTCCCTTGGAAAAGGAAGCCCCCTTCTCTCCTCTGATAATCAATACAACAACAATGTAGTAGCCCTGCTGTGATGTGTCCGTGTATACTACTCTCCACTCCATCAAGACAGACTAGCCCATGGTATCCCCCGCATACAAAAAAAATAAAATAAAATTTGGACGTGCGTGCACTATCTTCCAAGTGCACCTTTGGTCTGCCGTTACAGGTCATTGAGGGGGAAGGAGAGAGAGGTGCATGTGGGGCAAACAGCGAGCGAGAGAGAGAGAGAGAGAGAGAGAGAGAGAGAGAGAGAGAGAGAGAGAGAGAGAGAGAGAGAGAGAGAGAGAGAGAGAGAGAGAGCAACACGAGGTGGCTTTGGGGGGGTTGCAGATCTATACCGCAGGGGGCTGATGTGGGGTAACAAGGCCATCGGGGTGGTTTCTGCCATTTTAGAATCACAGGCTCATACTGGCTGTGGGGCTAGACCCTGCCTTTTGTAACAGGGGGGAAAAGAAGAAAAACGGCCGTGAAAAGGGGTTGTATGCGCGTTGCACGTGCCAGCATAGCGCAGCACAATAGCCCACTGCACTGCGTATGAGTACACCTTGTACAAAGGGATGCACAACACTAGCCTACTACATCTCACCCTCCCTTGTTCCGCAAGCCTCTTGCAAGATGAAGCTGAAGAGTTTGCTCACACATATGCTATTATGCTCCTCTGCCAACAGCAGGTAAGCACCACCAGTTCCCACTGTCTTCCTCGTCTTCCCTTGTCACCCCACAGCTCACCACCCAGCTCCCTGCTCAGCGCTGCCCATCTATGGCAGGTACGGGCCTCACAGCCACGACCGTTGCTTCCTCTCTCCCGGGCACTATCTGGTCGCAGCACGCTCTGGCAGCACTGCTGCATTGAAGGTAGTGCCTGAATGTGTTCCCAGCGGCATTCCTCCTCCTCGTCTCTTCTGGAGGCTGCAGTCTGGGCCCTAGTAGGCAGTCCAGACTGCCTAGGATCTGCGTCCGGGTCCCAGGCTCTGAAACTAACTTGAGGTTGGGCCTACCTGTTAGTTATGGAGCCTGGGGCCTGTCTCAGGTTCAGTACCCTTTGGCTCAGCCATCACCTGGGCTGGCCGCCTTTTCTCTTGCTGTGCCCTTGTTTAGGGCCCAACGACATTCTGCACAGGCGGTCTTTTTAGGGGCCGTCAAAGGCATGGGGCCTCACATGTGATGATGTGAGATGATTTAATGTTTTGTGTTTCTTTTTGTTTTGTTTTGTTTTTCCCTTTTTATGTTTTTTTAAATACAGCTGCCTTCTCCTCATATGGGGGACAGTTATAATTTCTACCCTATTATCTTCTGTCAATGTGTCTCACACTAGCTACCCATGTCTATGCCCTACCCTCAATCCTACGGAAAGACCTAGAATAATCAATTAAGCTGGAATCTCAAGCAGCGTAGCCGAATATCTCCGCTGGTAAAGCCGAAGCGTAACACAGGAGGCCGTGGGGGATTGAATGGACGACGTGGGGAATCGAACCCACGACCTCCTGAATACCATTCTGTGCTCAAACCAACTGAAGATTTCATAACAAAATTGGGGGTGAACCTCAGCTGGAAGCTGTTTAATTTGCAATTCTGCATAACATAGTTGTTTTTCAGGTTTTATTTTGGCGCGGGGGCTGTCTGGGATCTTGACCAGGAACTTGCCTGGACCTGGCCCATACGGGCCACCTGGGCCAGACATAGGCAACCTGGGCGGCTTGATGCTCAGATCTTCCTTGTTTGCCCTTGCTCCCTACCGTCTACATTTGTTTCCTAACAATGGATGCATATCTGCAACAAAGCACATGCAACACACCCTTCTTTTATAGCAAACAGATGTGCCGGTGCTTGATGCTCAACCACACACAATGTGGCCAAGTATGCACTGTGTATCTGGGGGGCATTGTTGTTGCTTTCCCATCTTGTTCATCGTCTGTCTTATCATGGAGTATCGACAATATCTTTGAGTTTCCCATCCACATCGCCAGTGCGTAATGTGCAAATGGCTCTTTTTTTCCAAACAAAAGGGTTGGATCCATTTTATTCTCGGGATAATCTTTTCGATCCCTTTTCCACCGCCAAGTTGTCAAATAGTGTCTGAATGCTGGGGCGTTGGTGTTCAAGCACTTTTCTCTGCGTTCTATGTGGGTCTGCTGTACTTTGTATAGTTCTGTGTTATTGCTGCTATGGCTCTGCCTGGCTGATGGACTTGGTGGTGCCAATTTGTAAGCGTCCTTCAGTACGCTCATCTGCAGCTCAACCTCACATAAGGTGGAAAACCCCAAGTGCTGGGCTGTAAAACAGTTTACTGCTGGACCAGCTTTGATGGTGTTTTCACCAACATTGTGCACCTGGAATGTGCGAACATCTCCTTGTTGGTGGGTGATTAAAAATAATAATAATATTATAATAATAAAAAATAAAAATAAAAAAACTTAAAAAAAGAGCTCTTTAGTATGTGTTTGTGTTCACCTGTAGTCATTTTGCATTAGACATTGCTGGATTTGTGATATCATCTCTGGTGCGACTGGCAAAATTGGTGGTGCATACCTAGCATCAACAGGCTCATTTGTAGGCCTACCTTAGATAAGGTGGGCACCCCTCACTGCTCAGCTATAGAGGAGCTGGTTCTGAGAAACAGGCATGGGTTGAGCGGACCAAGAAGCTCTAGCAATACAAAGGACATTCAGGCAGCCGAGTGGCTGAGAGTAGCAAGTAACAGTGAACTTCATTGCAGGGGTCGAGCAGTGGTATATCCTTCTCCCAAAAAGCAAGCACTCAATGCCCGCTGACTCAGGGTCTTTCAACTATAATGGAAGGAAATGTAAGAGTGAGTTGCCTTGTAAGGGATGCTGGACCCGGTTTCAGGCCATTATCACTTTGATAGGGTTGGGGGGGAGCTTTAAGCATACAATGATGAAAGAGATGAAAGAGGGATCTTTTTTTGTCAAAAAAGAGGTGTGCCTGTATGGTAAAGTCATGCAGGTGTAAACAGATCATGAGTTGATGGATATGATAAAAGAAGGACCCTTTTCCGCAGAATGCAGTTGCACAGAGTGAAGGTCATTCACATCGAACACCTCAGGGTCAGATCATGCTCAGAGCATTATGTGCTAAACTTCACGCGAACTTGGTATGGTTCCCTTTCCAGGTTCACAGTACTGTTGCACCCAGTTCCAGGAGTACTTTTTTGTTCCTTTAGTAGGCTTAGCATTTCCTGCTATTGCTATGGCTTTTATTTTTGTTCAGATTGAAAAAGAAGAGATTGTTTAATTTATGTATTTTCACTTGAGTGTACATAAATAGATTGTAAATCAAATAGTGAGTAAGATTTAACTAATCTATATGTGGTATTCATTCTTGTTTGACTCGAAACTAGTTTCTTCTTTTTTACCGCATTGCCTACGTAATTGCCTTGTGGGAACGGACCTTTACTTGGACAACAGTTGTATATGATCGATTTGTCGCAGGGGATCGGATGATTTCCGTTTGCGGACTCATTTTCATATGTTCTGCACAGGTTGTGCTTTAATTAAGAAGATCTTCACTCCTTAACTACTAGGGAGTGTGTAGTGGTGGGCTTCTGTATTTTTGTATGCATTTTACCGGCAAGCTCATTCATTTATGAAAAAAACTTTTCTAGATGTTGTGTTGTTGGGTTTCCTGCTCCAGTGGCCCCTCAAAGGTAGGAGAGTGGCAGCAGGTGTGGAATAAACAAACCGATAAGCAGTTACCTTAAACCGCCGCTACCTTTCACAGTGTTGGGAAAAGTGGAAATGTAACGTACAGGTCCTACACTGCATTCTTTGGGGGCCGGCCACAACGGCAGCCCCCGTTGATAAATTTAATCGGTGGCCGCCGTTTCGTTTCAGCCTCTGAACGAGCGGGGACCCTCCCCACGGCAGATGTGCAGGAAATGTAGCGGTGGTTCAAAAAATGAGCAGAACAGAATTCTTGCCATTTCTGGTGACGGCACCTAGGCTCCTGCTCATGGCAGTGATTCGGGCTAAACGGGATAGGATAGGTGGCAAAGCTGCAGGATGGAAGTCTTGTAAACAAACACAGCAGGTTTTCATACCGTGCGTCTAATGCTCATGTGGTATACGTGCGTAGCCTTGTGCGGGCTTGTTTTGGCTGGGTTTTGTTGGGTTACATATGGAGAGAAGATGTGTGTGTTGGGTGACAGTGCTTTGGGATAGCCTCTGTTTGTTACTCTTATTGTATGTGTGGGGTGTGCCCGCTGTGCACAATCAAAGTTTCCCTCGATCCTGCCCCCACGGGGGGAATCCTCAGGAGGGGAAAAGGGGCTTTCTTCTTTCTCTATTTGAACTGTTTTGTGATGGGCACTTCTGTTGCTTTGTTTGTACAATTCTTATGTCTAAACAGCTCACAAGTACAACTTGTTCCACCTGCCTCTTTTTGGTTCTTATGTGTGCCTGTCGGCATTTCTTTGGTGATCTTCTGAGTCCTTCCAGCGCTGCGCAATGACTCTAAAGCATCACTGAAAGTCCGGAGCCATCCTCTACCGCTGACCAAGAATGAAGCTCTGCAAATACAGACTTTTCTTACGGTGGGTAATCATTGCTGCATTGTTTGAGAAATGTAGCAAACTCTGACGACAGACTGAGAAAGCGTTCTTGTTTTTTCCGCGAACAGGTCCATGTCCACACATTTGCGATGTTTCTAGACTTGATGGGTTAATGTAGTGATCTTGTGTGTGTGTTCTGTGATGGGCCTTGCTGAAATTCGTACTGCCAAAAGTGGTGAGCTTCGAGGGCCTCGATACGGCAAAAAGAAAGGTGAAGTTATCAACATACAAACTCGTCACTTGGGAGCAACGAACACAAACTGCATATTTTCTAGGTGGTCATATGAATCTTTTAGCAACCTCAGTGTGTGACTGCAGTTGTACGGACTCATAACTTGGAAGTAAAAGGATAAACTGGAAAGTTTTTAGGGGCTTTGTAAGTTTGTAGTGATCTTTTACCGAACATATTTGGATTACTTGGAGGTACGATGCAAGTGTACTTCATCTTCATTTTCTGATGCCAGTCTGAAGGCCTGCATCACTCTCACAAGCGCACTGAATGATGATTCTGAGGCTCGGATGAGGAAAGTGAGGTCAGCTGTGAACATTATTACGTTCAGGAAGCACAAGTGGTGGGGTGTTCCCACAGTGACCTCCGGTGGTCTTTGGATCGAAGGGTGTTTGAATAGTAACGAGGCTATCGCCATCGCAAAAAGCAAAATTGAAGTAGCTCGTGGGTCACCTTGCTGTACTGATCGAGAGATCGGGTAACATTCTGATAGCAACCCGTTGTCCTGAACACAGCCTCTCGCATCATTGTAGAGAATTCACACCCATTTCCTAAAGTTTGGACCTACCCCCATTTTTCCCATGCTCGCATTGAGAAAGGCCCAAGTGACTTGGTCATAGGCCTTCTCAAAGTCAAAGAAAAGGATTACTGTATTAAATTATATTAATCCTTTTTTCTCTAAGTTCTTTTTCCGGATATCCGGATGGCCCTGGACCATCCGTATTATCCGGCCGGAAAAAGCCACCCGGAAGAACCCGGCAAATACCCTTTCTACGGGGGTTCAGGGGCGCACAGGGGTTTTGATCGACCCCTGGAACCCCGTCCCGGGAACGGATCCGGTAAGGGCCCTACCGGACTCGAAATACTAATGGCCCGATCTGGGCTGTCGATCGACTAACATCGATGGCCCAGATCGGGCGAATTTTTGAATTTGAATTTGCGGCCCGCCCCACCGTTCTTCCCCAGCGACAGCCCACTGCCCCGTCGCCGTGGTGCCTGCTGCCCGTCCCCGCCCGCCGCCCGTGTGTTCAGCCTGTCAGCGCTGACGGCCTGCTGCCCCGTTGCCCCACTGCCCCGCTGTTGTGCCGTTGGAGCCATCGCCGTGGCCGTTGGAGCCATCGCCGTGGCCGTTGGAGCCTTCCCCCGGGAGAGTCCTCCGGCTGCAGCGTCATCGGGGTGAGCTTTCGGTCGTCCTCCCCCTTCACCCGCCTCCACCACCTCCTCCTCTTCCTCCTCCTCCTCTTCCTCCTCCTCCTCTTCCTCGCTCTCCTCCTCCTCCACTTCATCTTCTTCTTCATCCTCCTCGTCGTCGTCCTCTTTCTCTTCCTCCTCCTCATCTTCTACTTCTTTTTCTTCCTCTTCCTAATCGTCCTCTTCTTCCTCCTCCTTTTCCTCCTCCTCCTCCTCCTCCTCCTCCTCCACCACCTCCTCATCTTCTTCTTCCTCCTCCTCCTCTTCCTCCTCCTCCTCTTCCTCCTCCTCCTCCTCCTCCTTGTCTTGTAGTTCTTCTTCTTCTTCTTCCTCCGACGTATCTACCCTGCACAGTTGCTATGTGCTCTTCTACCTTGCACACATTGTATATAACAGGAGGGAGAGGAAGGATGATGAGGAGGAGGAGGCGGAGGAGGAAGCGGAGGAGGAAGGATGACAAGTAGGAGGAGGAGGAGGAGGAGGAAGCGGAGGAGGAGGAAGGATGACGAGGAGGTGGAGGAGGAGGACGACGAGAAGGAAGGATGACGACGACAAGGAGGAAGAAGAAGATGTAGAAGATGACGAGGGGGAGGAGGAGGAGAAGGAGGAGGATGACGAGGGGAAGGAAGAAGACGAAGTAGAAGACGAGGAGGAGGAGGAAGAGGAAGAGGAGGAGGGGGAGGAGGATGAAGAAGAAGATGCGGAATAGGAGGAAGAGGAGGAAGAGGAGGAGGAGAAGGAGGACGACAAAAAAGAGGAGGATGAAGAAGAAGATGCGGAATAGGAGGAAGTGGAGGAGGAAGAGGAGGAGGAGGACGACCAAGAAGAGGAGGAGAAGGATGAGGAGGAACTGTTTTTTCGGACATTTTCCGGTTTATCCTGAATCCCGGATCATTTTTTATTTTTTTGGTTGCCGGATAAAGTGGCCGGATATTCCGGGCACTTAATCCGGCCAGAAATGATAAACAACTTAGTTTTTTCTTTTTTTAGCTGCTTCATTAACGGTTAGCACGTTGTGGAGCGCATCGGTCCTGCAGGGGGACCCTCCCGGCCGTGTCACGCAGGATTCGTGCAAGACTTTTTTTGCGGTGGAGCTTTTACCGCTCCGGCCAAGTGCACCAGCCATACCTCTCGCGAACCCCTACGATAGGATATGGTCATGCGAGGTACAACTTTCCTTCGCCCAAGGGGCAGTGACCACCCTTGAACGGGCATATCCTCGCCGAGCTACGGAACCACGTGCGAAAACTACTCAGTTGCAATTCCAGAGGTGACCCAACCGAGGGCGTTTCTCGTATGCTGTAGCATAGGGGGTATGCGCGGTCGCACACCTCTATCGGACCCTTACGCGAGCTGACGCATCGGGGGGCTGATGTCCCAAGCGTGACTCGACGCTGGTCGACTACGACGTATCCTTCTGACCACGCGCTACACCACATCAAAACAAAAATCAAGTTACACACACAAAACAGTCCTAGTCCCTTTTTGTATCCAACCCATAACTTTTCTAACTCAAGAATCGGTTAGGCATCGTGCACGAGACTCAAAATAAATACAGTGCGGGTGCAGGCTTCCTCATATCCACTAACCATGCATGAATACGCAAGCAGTCGCAGTGATGTCGTAGTATGTAGGACTGACAATCATGAAGCCTTCAATGGTCTTGAGGGTTGCTTTCGACACTCAAGTGTCAGTCGATACACGCTTCGAGGGGTTAATCCTTCGGCGTTGGACAACCACCAAGCGGTTGCGAGTCCTACCCTCTTCTGCACCCTGCGTAGATGAGTGGTAGGCAGGTCTAAACCCTTTGTAGCAGCTGGGCGCCCCTAAAACTGGAAGTGGGGTTCCATAATCCTAGGCCTGGAAACAAGTCAAGGGGTTCGACTTTGACAGTTGCTACGGTCTTTAACGTCCAAATATAAAATGTTAAAAAGGAAACCCTCTTTTCTCTCAATACGAATCACGGTCTGAGAGGTCGCGATAACATAATCACATATAAGCAAAAAGAGTGTAGAAGAATACACGGCGAACACTCTCATAATTACTATGCGACTCCCTTCAAAAATATACTTAGGATCACAGGCAAGTTTAGATTTGGACTTCCAATCTCAAAACATACCTGCAATCACATCAAGGATTCAACATCGAAAGACCACGCACTACACAGGGTTAACTTCAACCACTTCTTTGTGCTCATACCCCTCGCCTTAACCATATAAGCCTCAACCTTCGTCCAACCTTCCATAATAAAGTACTCAGTACCTTTTTTAAATGTCCATTCAATAAAAGTCGAGGTAAAAACTCGAAAGAAACAATTTGAACCACATGTGCTAAGGCCTTTAGGTTAAATGGCGAGAAGCGTTATAGTTGAGTGGTAAACCGACGAACTGGCAACCGACCTATTATCAAAAGATAACAGGAGATGATCCTCGCAGGATCAGACTAAAACTAGTCAGATCTTGAATTAAAATGGTCAAAAAAGGATCTGTAACAGAGCACAGACCAATCCGCAGGGTTGAACTACTAGTGTACGGAGAATAAACCCTCATATTACACTTTATTTAAAACGTTCGAATAACTAAATCTAAATTTACCTCTAAGTTAGTACCAAAAGAAATGAAGATTTCGACATAGGGTGTATTGCCAAAATCCTTCTTTTCAAAATATAATCTAACTCCTTGAAACTATATAAAAAAAAATTGACAGCTTTCCCTCTAGAGAAAGTGTCTTTCCATAATTTATACTTATATCAAGTCATATGAATATGAAGTTTGAAACAATCCTTACTCTAGAAGGTCAAATTTTGTCTAACTCCCTGAATTAGCGAAAATTTGGGTAGGAAGTAGACTGCTCAAATTTGTACGAAGTCAGATACGAACCCAAAGTAAAATTTGAGTTCTTGCTAAGATAAAATTTAACTAACCACTTAGATTTGCAGAAATTTCGGCAGCACTCCCTCTAGAGAAGTGTCATTCCAAAATTTGTACAAAGCTAAATACAAAATCTGAAAATGATTCTGACTTTAACAAAGTCAAATTTTGTGTAACTTCTTGAATTAGTAAAAAATTGGGCAGCACTCCCCCTAGAAAAAAAGGTTTTCTAGATTTATAGTAAGCCATATATGAACTCAGACAAAAGTTGAACTTTGAAAAACCAGAATTTGACTAACTCCTTGGTTTTGTAAAAATTTGGGCAGCACTTCCCTTGGCGAAAGTAGGTTTCCAAAATTTATACAAAGCCAATTATGATAAATAAACTTAATCTTGAAAATTATGACATTGAACTAAGTAAAATAAATTTAACTCAGAAAATGCAGGAATTGAACTAACTCCTGCTTACAGCTCCAGCAGGTGGCGAGCATCTACATAAAGCAACGACCTATTAAGGCTGATACTCAGACTAAGCAGAGGTGTCAAACTTAATCTTGAAAATGTTGACATTGAACTAAGTAAAATAAATTTAACTTAGAAAATGCAGGAATTGAACTAACTCCTACAGCTCCGGCAGGTGGCGAGCATCTAAAGTAACTACCTATCAAGGCTGATAGTCAGATGTAGCAGAG